CAACTCATTGATTTTTCTACGGTGTTTGGATGATTTTGGCATTTTCTTCTTATCAGCTCTCCGACGGCCCAAGAGGCCTCCAAGATGGCCCCATCACAGCCCAAGAGGCCCCAACAAGACCCCAAGACAGCCCAAGAGGCCCCCAAGAGCGAACACGACCGATCGCAACCACTTCGGACCGATCGTCGACCACTTCGGACCGATCGCAACCAGTTGCGAATCGCCCGAAGTGGTTGCGATGTTTTTGGGTCGTTTCAATAAGGCTTCGATTAAGAAAGAGATCATAAGAGCGCCTGTGGGTGCAATGAGCTCCCTGAAGCTGCCCAATGGGAATCTGAAAAAGCGGTTACGATCGGTCCGATCACCGACGGCCGATCATGATCTCAGCTAAACACATGTACTTGAGCTCGAACTTGGCCATGATCCGTATACGATTCTTATGTAATTCGTATACGAGTGAAACCGGAACTGAGCGAAAACGCCCGGTGTGGAACACATTGCATCTCAGGAGGAGGAGGAGGAGGAGGAGGAGGAGGAGGAGGAGGAGGAGGAGGAGGGGGAGGAGGAGGAAGAGGAGGAGGGAGGGAGGAGGGAGGGAGAAGGAGGAGGGGAGGGAGGAAGGGCAGGAGCAGGAGGAGCAGGAGCAGGAGGAGGAGGGGGAGGAGGAGGAAAAGGAGGAGGACAGGATGGCAAGGCGGGTACACGCGGCGGCCCAGACCCCGAACGTCATGGCTTTGCTGGATCGTCGACCCCAAGAGGTCTGGACGAATTTCCCTACGGTAGGTTCGTGCGGCGTCGGCACTCGCAAGGCTTTTGGCACCACGTCGATCGTTCAACCTTGAATCGATCGCGGCCCCGATCGTTCAGGCTTGAATTTCGTCGGGTACAATGGCCCGACCGTGTCCCTCGGTGCTTCCGCGTCGCAGAATGCAGCCTTGAACGCCTTCGCCAACGTCGCCGGCGTGCCAACGCCGCATGAACCTACAGTAGACCAGCATTGCATACTGAGTCACTTTTGGACGGCCCCTGGGCCTGGCGAGGGCCCCCGGAGCCCGAGAAGCCTCAGAGAAGCCCCTGAAAGGCTCAGAGAAGCCTCTGAAAGGCTTCAGAGAAGCCTCTGAAAGGTTTCAGAGAAGCCTCTGAAAGGCTCCAGAGAAGCCTTTGCAAGGCTTCAGAGATCTGAGAAGGCTCCATCGAAGCCTCTGAAAGGCTTCAGAGAAGCCTCTGAAAGGCTTCAGAGAAGCCTTTGAAAGGCTTCAGAGAAGCCTCTGAAAAGGCTTCAGAGAAGCCTCTGAACGGCCTCGCTGAGGCCTCTCAGAGGCCTCGCTGAGAACTCTTCAGAAGCTCTGCAGAAACTCTTGGATCGGTTGCAATCCGGTGTTCTTCAGCAGAAATGTTTATATAGGAAGCCTTCAGGTTGCGATCAGTCCGATTCCAGCGGTTGTAATCCGACCGAAATAGTTCCTGAACAGTCCGAAGTGGTTGTAATCGGTCTTATCCCGCCCCCAAGACGCCCAAGATGGCCTCCAAGACGGCCAAGCTGGCCTCCAAGATGTCTCCAAGACGGCCAAGAAGGCCTCCAAGACGGCGAAGATGGCCCCAAGATGCACCCAATACGGCCCCAGATGGCCCGAAGATGGCCCTAGTCTGCCCAAAAGGCCCGCCAGAGGCCTCCAAGACGGCCCAAGGGCCCTCCAAGACGTCCTCCAGGAGGCCCGAAAGCTCGGAAACCACCTGGTCCGATAGCGCGTCCGACTCCGCGTTCCCCGAAGGCTTTCGAAACCCACTCGGGGAACGCGTGGCCCGATAGCTTGGCCAAACTCAAACCCAACTTTCGGCCACGCAGGCGCTTCCAAAAAGGCAAGGGGCGGCGGTGATTCGAAGTAGGCGTCTTCGATAACGCCACCGCTTCAATATGTGCTGATGACTCCTATCCGCCCCCGCACATGTTCCCAGATGCGCCAAGGCAGCGCCGAGACGCACCGACGCGGCTCTGCTATATCCCATTATGATAGAGAGGGGGCCAGCGGCATGGGGCGAAGCCCTTACGGATAAACAACACATGAGATATGACCTTCGCGCGGATTTCTTGGATCTGCGCTGAACCCTCCTCCCTGGCGCGCGGAGCGCACCAAGGGCGGCGCCAGAGACGACGCCAACGAGGCCCAGCGCCGATCTAAGAAATCCGCACAGAACTCCAAAATATTGTGTATGCCAGTCTTTTCTCTACGAAAACATATCCAGCTTTGCAGCATCAGCAGCATGAGTAGAGAGGAGGGCGGTAGAGGAGCGGAGAAATAAATATTGATGAACTCAGCGTGGCTACGTGCACACCGCTGCAATTGAGAAATTAACTTGGGCACGAATCACCCTGCCATAACAAAAGCAGCATGAACCGTCACACTCGCACCTCTTAACCTGGACCTGAAGATTATAGAAGGGGTGGTAGACACGGGCACAGGACGAGGGAGCATGCAAATGAGGGGCGATTCCCCACGATTTCCCACACCAAATCGGCTGCTGCGGCACCAATCGGTCGTATAAACTATCGGAGGTTGGGGGGTGCGATCGCAGTGAAACGGAGACCCCCCACCGGGAAATCGGTTTCGGTTTCGTGTTCGTGTCGTGCGTGCGGGCGAGGCGAAGCTGCGCGTGATCCTCCTGTAGCTAGGCCGAAGTAGGAGCGAAAGTCCGTTCCCGTCCGCCGGTGGCTGGGAGGTGTCCCAATTGGGCCGGGCGGTGTCCCAAGTGTCCCGGGTGTCAAAAGGAGCGAAAATCCGTTTCTCGTCAGCTGGTGGCTGGGAGGTGTCCCAATTGGGCCGGGCGGTGTCCCAGGTGTCCCGGGCGTCCCAGCGCTAACGCATGTCGCAAATGTCATAAAGCATGTTTTTCGGCACCTGCGGTGGGCTTTCTTATCCAATCCAGCTTATCTTATCCAATCCATCTTGTCCAATCCAATCCATCTTATCTTTTCCAACCCATCTTGTCCCATCTTATCTTATCCCACCCAATCCAATCCATCCAACCCAATCCATCAATTCATTTGTTTCTGCGCCTGTCGCATGTCGAACATTTCATAATTCATTTGTTTTCGGCGCCTGCGGCGGGCTTAATCATCCACTCCAGCTTATCTTCTAAAATCCATATTGTTTCCCAACCATCTTATCTCCTCCAATCCATCTTGTCCCATCTTATCTTATCCCACCCACTCCAATCCACCCAACCCAATCCATCAATTCATTTGTTTCTGCGCCTGTGGCGGGCGGGCCAATCCAATCCTTCTTATCTTATCCAATACAGTTCTTCCAATCCAACCCATCTTGTCTTACGCAATCCATCTTACCCCATCCAATCCAATCCACCCAACCCAATCCATCAATTCATTTTTGTCGGCGCCTGCGGCGGGCTTTCTTATCCAATCCAGATTAGCTTATCCAACCCATCTTGCCCAATTCAACCCATCTTATCTTTTCCAATCTATCTTGTCCCATCTTATCTTATCCCACGCAATCCAATCCACCCAACCCAATCCATCAATTTATTTGTTTCTGAGGCTTGGCCGGCCAATCCAATCCATCTTATCTTATCCAATCCATCTCTTCCAAGCCAACCCATCTTGTCTTATCCAATCCATCTTATCCCATCCTCATTGTGGGCATTTGATCTCAATCCCCCCCCAACCTCCTTATCGCCCGCAGGGCGGTCGTATAGTTATATATAAATATATATATATATATATATATATATATATACATATATATACTAGAACCACGCGCGCGCTTCGCGCGCGCTTAGGTTCTAGCTAGGATTGTCACCGCTCTCTGGGAGTTTGACGTAGCTTCTCGGGAGCCTCGTAACCTGTCGGGGGCCTCCTGGAAGCAGGTTCGAAGCAAATTTTTGGGGCCGATTTGGGGCTTCTGGGGGGCCTCCTTTGGGCCTCTTGGGGGTCTCCTGGGGCCTCTTGAGGGGCCTCCGTGGGGCCTCCTGGCGGCCTCTTGGGGCGGAAGGCTCGAGCTTGCGGTTCGTGGTCCCCCTCTGGGCCCCCTCTTGGGCCCGTCTTGGGGCCCTCTTGGGCCATCTTGGGCGCCTCTTGGGCCGTCTTGGGGCCCTCTTGGGCTGTCCTGGGGCCCTCTTGGAAGCTTCTTGGGCCGTCTTGGGGCGGTCTTGGGCGCCTCTTGGGCCGTCCTGTAACGTCGGAAAGCCCAAAAGGCAACTCTGTGAAAAATGTACGTTTTACGAAGGGAATGGGCCAATTTTTGCGTCTAGGGGCCCTCTTGGGACGCATGTTGGAGGCTTCTTGGGGCGTCTTGGGGGCGTCCTTGGACGTCTGGAGGCCATCGTCAGCATCTCGGAGCCCTCTTGGAGGCCTCTTGGAAGTTTCTTGGGCCGTCTTGGGCGCTTCTGGGGCCGTCTTGTCTGACCGGGGAGGCCTCTGGCAAGCCCCGACGAGCCTCCGGGCCCCCCGGGGCCCACATTTGTGGTCGAGGTCCTGGCCCCGAGCCCCCGGACCCGGTGCGCCGTTATGTATATATATATATATATATATATATATATATATGTATATATATATAACTAGTCATGCAGCAGGAAGGCCTTCAATATAGTTTCGGACATGAACAACAAATATGGAAAGGCCTTCGATCATCCTGGAAGTAGGAGGGCAGCAGCTTGTTGACTGCAACTCTGTCTAAGATTTTCACAGCCTGCTCCAAAGGCAGGCCGAAGCAGCTGCACCTTCTGGCGCTGGCGTGCGACTGATGATGGATTCGGCACGCTGCCGCGCCTACTGGCATGGACATGGTGTCTCATTCTAAGGGTTGTTCGTAGATAGAGCGGGCGCCCGGAACACATGCTGACCCGACTCTGACGACTTGATGGAAACCAATGGCAAACTCATCGTCAACTGATGAATTAATCGGCGACGAACTGATTGACCGACAGCAAGATTGGCAGGTAAGAACAAATCGGCAGAAAAGAGGCTGCCGAAAGCAGGCGTGCTCCTCGGGCGTGCACGGGAACTTGAAGGGCTTGTCTATGGAGCTCAGCGGTGCCTCTCGAAATTCCGAAATTCAGCGCCAGAACACGGCAGGCTCGTGTCGTGCCAACGTCGCCGTTTGCAACATCGAACGAGGGCGGCTCTCCGATCGCCAGATCGTTCCATATTTGCCGATTCGGGGCCACTGGCGGGGTTCAAGGCCTTGGGCGCCCGAGTTATCCGGGGTAACTCGGGTCCGGGGTAACTCGGGTTCGGATTCTCGAAAAAGGAACCCGAGTTAGCCCTGACCCGAATTACCCCTGATGATTCGGGGCTCTGGACGCCTGAATTATCCGGGGTAACTCGGGTCCGGGGTAACTCGGTTTCGGAATCCCGAAAAGCGAACTCGAGTTAGCCCTGACCCGAGTTACCCCCGATGATTCGGGGCTCTGAAGGCCAGGTCGCCACCGCGTCGACGAAACGCAAACCTACCGTACGCCAGCCGACTCCGCACGGCGTCCGCCCCCCTCCTGGACCCCGCCTCTGCCCCGCCGCGAGCTGCCCCACCGACCAACGCGCAGCTAGGGGCGAATTTTCCGCTGCACGTCCGCTTCTCCAGGCTGCCGCGGTGCGGATGCCATGCGCAGCAGGGGCGGCAGGAGGAGGCCCTCGCGTGGTGCAGCAGGCGCACACGACAAGAAAGGCTGCTATGCTTCATCGCTGGGTCGACTCTTCCCCTGCAAAGTCGCCACCAGACGTCTCCAGAGGCGAGTCATGGCCAGAATTTCGAAGCGAATCCAGCCGTGGCCAAGAGGACGCCCCAGGTAGAGAAATAAACAATTGCATAAGCGCAGCATAACCTTTCGGAGGTCCGCGAGGGATCGGCGCTAGACATGAGCTGGTTTCGCCGGTGCTGGTTTCGCCGGCGCTGCGCCCCGCTGGATTCGCCGGCGGCTGGTTTCGCCGGCGCTGGTTTCGCCGGCGCTGTTTTTGCCGACGCCGTCGTTGGCGTCGGCGTCGGCGTCGGCGTCGGCGTCGGCGTCGGCGTCGGCGTCGGCGCCGCCGTCGTCGTCGTCGTCGTCGTCGTCGTCGTCGTCGTCGTCGTCGTCGTCGTCGTCGTCGTCGTCGTCGTCGTCGTCGTGGTGGTTGTCATCGGGCGTTGGGCGTCGGACCCGAGCGGGTGGGTCGGGTCGGGTGGGCGGACCCTAACGGGCGGGTCGGGTCGGACGGGCGGGACGTTAAAAAGTGGGGCACGCTCGACCGAGCACGGGCGAACCCTAACGGGTGGGTCGGGTCGGGCGGGTGGACCCTAGCGGGCGGGTCGGGTCGGGTCGGGCGGGCCCTAACGGGCGGGTCGGGTCGGGCGGGAAGATCAAAGTGTGGGGCACGTTCGACCCAACACGCGCGAGCCCTAACGGGCGGGTCGGGGGTCGGGTCGGGCTGGCGGACCCTAGCGGGCGGGTTGGGTCGGGTCGGGCGGGCGGACCCCAACGGGCGGGTCGGGTCGGGCGGGCGGGACCAGAAAATGTGGGGCGCGCTCGACTACACACGCGCGAGCCCTAACGGGCGGGTCGGGTCGGGCGGGCGGACCCTTGCGGGCGGGTCGGGTCGGGTCGGGCGGGCGGACCCTAACGGGCGGGTCGGGTCGGTCGGGCGGGGCGTTAAAATGTGGGGCGCGCTCGACCGAGCACGTGCGAACTCGAACGGGCGGGTCGGGTCGTGCGGGCGGACCCTAGCGGGCGGGTCGGATCGGGCAGTTTCGCCGACAGCAGCTGGTTTCGCCGACGGCAGCTGGTTTTGCCGACGGCAGCTGGTTTCGCCGACGGACGGAAGCTGGTTTCGCCGACGGCAGCTGGTTTCGCCGTCGGCAGCTGGTTTTGCCGACGGAAGCTGGTTTCGCCGACGGCAGCTGGGCGAAACCAGCCGTCGGCGAAACCAGCGGTTGCCTCGGCGCTAGACCCCCTCCCTGACGCGCGGAGGCGCCGCCAGGGGGATCCAACGCCGATCCAAGAAATATGATCGGACAAGAACGGGAAGCGCCGCTCTAGTCTAATGGGCGCACTGGGCGAAGAAGATAAGGAAGGCGAGGGCAACGAGGAGTCGATGACGAGGACGACGTGTCGAGCATGAGGATAGCGAGGAGGAGCATGAGGACAACGAGGAGGAAGAGAAGCACAAGGACGAGGACGAAGAGAACGAGGGCGAGTACGAGGAGGAATGCGGAGGGCGATGACGACGACGACGACGACGACGACGACGACGACGACGACGACGACGACGACGACGACGACGACGACGACGACGACGACGACGACGGAGGGCAGTAAGAGGCAATTTAGCGGCGGCGCCGGAGGCGCCGCCAGGGGGATCCAACGCCGATCCAAGAAATCCGCGCAGACGTCCGAAAGCGCACGTTTATGGCAGATTTGCTCCTTCTTCGACTGGGAGACGCAACAAAAGAGGAACAACAACTGTGAAGTACTCGACGCTCGATCCCCGGTGCCTTGAAATCCGCTCAAAATCATTCCAGAGCCCCTTCCCTGCATAGTCGGGGGCAGCCCAGAGGGGGGCGTCCAAAGGGGGGGGGTGCTAATCATGGCCGGCGGCATGTGCGCGGCCTGTGGGGGGGCCAGGGACGTAATGAAATAAGAAGAGGCGCCATGAAATCTGGGGAATAATCTTGGCCCACGCCATGATATCCACCCCCCCTAATCATCACCCCCCTCTTGGCCGCCCCCGACATACAGTCAAAAACCCTGATAAGGACGCGCGACTTTGCTCAGGGTACCCTTGCGTCCTTGCTCTTCCTTGCTCTTGCGTCCTTGGGCTTTTCGTCGTCCGCCGCCCCAAACACCCCAACTTCGGCTTCCAAGGGTCTTGCGCCCTTACCGCGCGTCCTTATTAGGGTGTTTGGCTGTAGTATCGCAGCGAGCACGGGCCGCCAAAAGCCCCCCCGGGCCTCTCTTGGGTGGCGCTCTGGCCAGAGGATCCCAGAAGGGCGCCCGGCCGTGGCGGTGCGAAGCCTTCCTTGAGAGCAGGGACCGACTGGCCTGGCATTCCCAGGGGCCTGCGACGATAATATATTCTTAGAGCGTGCAGGGCATTTTTTAATACATGGGATTCTAAAAATATCAGGACCTTTATTTTCAATACATGGTACGCACGCGGAGCATGTATTAAAACCGGCACTGTGAAGCCGATGTATCAAAACAAGACAGCCTCAGCCAGCAGCGTCCCAAGCACACTTCGTGCAGACCGCGAAGAGGCTCTTAGAGCACTCCTGGGTGGGCCTACAGGCACGCCCAAGCCAGACCCCCGAACCTTGGCCCTCTCGGATCTGACGAAGAGGAGGAGGGGGAGGAGGAGGAGGAGGAGGAGGAGGAGGAGGAGGAGGAGGAGGATGAGGATGAGGAGGAGGACGAGGAGGAGGAGGAGGGAGGAGGGAGGAGGGAGGAGGGAGGAGAGGGAGGAGGAGGAGGAGGAGGAGGAGGAGGAGGACGAGGAGGAGGAGGAGAAGGGCGTCGGCGAGTCAGCTCGCGCAGCTGGTTTCGCCGCGGCACCCGGCGGCGTGGCCAGAGCCAGCTGCGCATCCAGCATTTTTCGTGACCCCCCCCTCTCGTCCGACCGATCCTCCGAGGCATCCCCGATCCTCGGGACCCCCTCTTCTGAGGGGCAACGCTGCGGGGGAACCCTGGCTCGAGGGGGGGAGGAACATCGACCTGGAACCGGCAACACATCGCCGATGGATCGGCGATGGGCCCCCGATAGCGAGTCCGCACGGTCCCGGGCGGGGTGGGCCATCGGGCCCCAGTCGGGTCCATGCGTCGCCCCCGGATCCTGTTCCCCCATCAGCATTGCCCCTGATATCCGGGTCATAGCTGATATCTCCAACTGTCGTTCGCCACGATCCCGGCGCCCCTGGAACGCACTCGGCGAGGCGCAGCAGCTGGACGAAACCTCGCGGAGTGGACACCGCCGAGTCCTGGCGAGAACGCCCAGAAGCCTTGGACCTCGAAGCCCTGGAGCCTCGAAGAACTCGAGGCCAGCCCGTACCCTGAGGAGCCCCTCCCCTGCACAGCGAGCTGCGTGCCGCCAGGAGGCCCGACCCGCCCGCCTGGCGTCGGACGGAGCCCGCGCGGATGGAGATGATGCTGTCGCGGGACACGCCCTCGAAGCCTGCGCGACCGTGTCGCCGCCGCCGCCGCCGCCGCCGCCGTCGTCGTCGTCGTCGCCGCCGCCGCCGTCGCCGCCGCCGCCGCCGTCCCGCCGCCGTCGCTGTCGCAGACGTCGCCGTCACCGCCGCCACCGTCGCCGTCGCAGCCCCGCCGCCTAGGCTGCGCTGTCGACGCCGTCGCTGTCGCCGTCGTCGCTGTCGCCGCCGCTGCCGTCGCCGTCGTCGCCGTCCCCGTCGCCGCCGCCGCCGCCGCCGCCGTCACTGTCGCCGCCGACGCTGCAGCCGCCGCCGCCGTGACCGCAGCCGGCGCGGTCGTGATCGACGGGGGGAGGGTGCCTCGAGCTTTTCGGGGTGGGTGGGGAGGAGAGGGAGGGGGAACCTCCTTTCCTTCCTCCTCCTCCTCCTCCTCCGCCTCCTCCTCTCCCCCTCCTCTCCTCTCCTCTCCTCCTCCTCCCTCCTCCTCTCCTCCTCTCCTCCTCCTCCTCCTCCTCCTCCCTCCTCCCCCCTCCTCCTCCTCCTCCTCCTCCTCCTCCTCCTCCTCCTCCTCCTCTTCCCCCTCCTCTCCCTCCGTCCTCATCCGTCTCATGCTCCTGCCAAGCGTGGGCTGCATCGAATCGCGAAATCGGATCAGGTCGCGCCCGCATCGGCGCGGGATCGCATCGGGGCCGCATTGCGCGGGACCGCGCATCGCTCGGGAGCCGGCTCGTGTCTGACGGGGCCAGAGCAAAAGCTGAACCGAGGTTTGGGGATCGGGTGGGATCGAGACGGGCCGTGAACAACCTTGCCGCGGGAGTCCGCTCAACCTTGAAATGTCTCTGCTACTGGAGCCCCCAGAAACACCCGGCTCCGGCTCCCGTGTGGGCGTGGCGCCTTCTGGATTGCGTTCTTGCTTGGCGGCGTGCAGAGCGCGGTAGGGTAAGGGGGGGAAGGCTTCTTCGGGCGACTTCTTGGAAGGCGCGGGCCTTACAGCTAGAGAGAAGGCCCGCGCCTTCTAAGAAGCAGGGCCGCTTCTAAGAAGCCTTCCCCCCCCCACCACCTACCCTCCCTTCTGCGCGTGGCCGACTTCTGGGCCCGAGCTGGGGCAAGGAAAGACGGCACCACCACCACCACCACCACCCGTTTTGAGGGGCAACTCCTAAGTGCTCGTGGAAACTATGAAAGACTACTACAGCAAGTTCGTGTCGTGTCGACACCGGCGTTGGCTTCTGACACTGCGGGGATCGTTCAACCTTGAACGATCGGGCGTTTCCGAAACGTCAGCTCATTCAACATCGACCGACTCTGGGTCGCCAGCGGCATTCAACGTTGAACGCCAGCGGCGGGGTCGCCGCGGATCGAAACGACGCGAACCTACTGGCGTGGTGCACCCGAGGCTTCAGGACCCAAAGCCCGAGGGCGTGCGGACCCTCAGGAGATCGCGCGGGGATCGCTCACCGCGCGGTCATCCTCCACTCAGGACCACTCCCTGGGCCCCTCCCAGGATCCTCTCTGGGGATGCCAAGGCCAAGACAGAATCGGACCGGGACACGTATAGGATCTCTGAGATGCGGCGGTGCTTGAGGATGTGTCGGGCGCCTCGGCGCTCCGGAACGCTCCGAGAGCGCTGTGGAACGATGCATCCGGGTCCTGGCCCGCAGCCCCGCCCGACCCATCCTGCCTCGTACGCCGAGCCATGTCTGGCCGTGGCCCTCGAAGGCCGAGAAGACGAGGACATACGGGAGGGAGGATGAAGGACAGCGGCAAGGGGACTGGCTCAAGTTGAGCAGGGACCCGCCGTCCTGGCATTCCTGTAGGCCTCCCACGAACAATTCAATGTTCGAACTGTCTGGGCCAGAAACATTCCGAGAACATCTCGTGCAGACCAGACGAGGTTCTTAGAACATGCTCTGGTAGACTAACAGGCGAACCAGGACGCTTCGCCACTGCTTGATCAGGGGGGGAGAGGGGGGGGGGAATATCGGCCTGGAGTCCTTGGAGTCCCGAAACGGTGCGGCGGCAGACCGTGCTGTGACCTCGAAATCCCCCAAGACCTCACCGCACGGTCCGTCACACGGTTTTGGGACCCTGGAGGCTCCAGTCGCCCGAGACATCCTCGGAGAGCGACACGAGCCCCAAAGCCGTGCGGTGACCCCGAATCCCCACCGACTCACCACACGGTGCGATCACCACCCCGTTTGGGGGCCCCGCAGAGTCGGCAAGACATCGCCGATGGACCGGCATCGGGCCCCCGATAGCGAAACAGAGCATCCCTGGGCGGGGCGGGGCAGGGCCCACGGCCCCCCCCGATCGGCGGTGCCTGGGCGAGCGGGGGGTCGATGCCTCTACAACGGGTCCCACGAAGAACCACCACCACCATCGCCGCCACCGCCACCGCCACCGCCACCGCCAGCGCCAGCGCCAGCGCCAGCGCCAGCGCCAGCGCCAGCACCAGCACCAGCACCAGCACCAGCACCAGCACCAGCACCAGCACCAGCACCAGCACCAGCACCAGCACCACCACCCTCTTGCCCCTCCCTCCTCCATCCTCCTCTCCCCCTCCTCTTTCTTGGGAGAGGGAGAGGGTGAGGGTGAGGAAGGTGGTGGTGGTGGTGGTGGTATACTTCCTGGGCCACGTATCTCTTCCTGAGCCTTTTCCCCCTTCTCGTTGTCCTCGAGCGGGAGGGGTGCGTTCGGTCTCGAGCGCCCGCGCGGGCGTCGCGTGGGCGGCGCCCGCCAACCCGTCTCTTCGAGGCGGTCAGAGACCGACGCCGTCCGCGCACGCAACCCTTGCGAGCTCGGTCGCGGTGCCCAGGCTCGGAGGCTGCCGCAGGCGTTCCCGGCCCAGGGTGTGCCCGGCTCTTCGCGCGCGCTCCGGAGCCTCCGGGGCCCTCTGGGCATCGCCTCGGGTGCTCCGGAGGCGGGGGGGGGCTCCCTGAAATCCAGGGGACATGACGAACGAGCAGCACGCACCCATACCCATAGGTGGGACGGAGCGGGCTATGGGTGCGTGTTGTCGGATGGGGGCCCCCGCTCGAAAGGAAGCGCCCCCCAGGATCCGACAACCCGCACCCATACCCACAGCCAGCCCTCCTCTCAACGTTCCTCCCATGGGTATGGGTATGGGTGTGTGTGTGTGTGTGTGTTGTTCGTTCGTCAGGACACCCATGGCCCTTGGCCAAGGGCACCTTTGCCCCCCCCCTCCCCCACAGGCGACGAGAGACGCACGACGATGAAAAACGACTGGGGCTCTACCCGTGCAGCTGTTGGGGGCTGTCGGGCCTCGGGGTCACACGCTGCGGGGGAGCAAGCAGGCAGGACGCCCTGCCCGCCCTGCCGACGCGTCTGGTGGCGAAATGGAGAAGGAGCTGCCGCTTGTGCGGAAGAGGTCCGAGAGGGAGGAGGAAGTGGGAGGAGAAGGAGGGAGCGGAGGACGAGGAGGAGGAGGGCCGAGAGAGGAGGAAAGATGGTGAGCATAGAGTATGTATACGAAGGCCCAGGTCCAACGAGGAGTGAGTGAGGACGAGGAGAAATGGGGAGAAAGGAGGGAAACGACTTATCGAGCGAGAGCCTCATTTTGAAAAGGAACCGTTCTCCATCCGTACAGCTGTTACATCGTTCCAGACTTCTGGCCTTTACACAAATGCAGACATGTCAGAATCGAGATCCCACTTTGGAGATTGAGCCGTTGTCCGTCCCTGTGTTTGCTTCAAGCTTGTAACACGAATGTGTGCAGAGCTAAGGCGAGAACTCCATTGTGAACAGCAACCGCACTCCATCTATGTAACAGGTGCAAGCTTTAAAATACGAGTGTCCGTGGCGCTAAGGCGAGAACTCAATTTTGATAACGGTTCCCCAATCACGCTTTCAACTGTAAGCGAAATCATAAGAATGCCACGTAGATTGGACAAGCCAACAAGCGTGTTACTTTGCCGTTTAGGATCCACAAAACTTTTATGGGCACGCACAATTTGGAAAGACGTCCCGCATGCCGTTGATACTCATTGTCCGTCACGAACTTGTTGCACACCTTTCGGACGGATATGCACGGCGCTAAGGCGAGATCCCCATTTTGACCTTCCCATCCATCCTTGTAACTGTTGCGACTCGAAATAGGAGTACGAATAGGAGTAGGAGTCTGAGTCGGAGTAGGAATAGGAGTAGGAGGAGGAGGAGGAGGAGGAGGAGGAGGAGGAGGAGGAGGAGGGGGAGGGGGATGAGGAGGGGGAGGGGGGAGGGGATGATGAGATGATGATGATGATGGAGGAGGAGGAGGAGGAGGAGGAGGAGGAGGAGGGAGGATGAGGATGAGGAGGAGGACAACGAGGGAGGTGGGAGGGATGAGCGATCCGCTCCTCCCCCAGACGACTGCGCTGGAGGCAGCGGCCGGAGCGATGGGGCCGCAACGGAAGCGCCCTTTTCGACCCGCAAGCGGGGCGGCTCACGCCTCTGTGCGCGCGGCCGAGGCCGCGCGGGGCGCACCGGCTCTGCGGGGTGCACGCGTCGGGGCCTGGTCGCCTTCAGACCCGCAGAGGAGGAGAAGCAGGATGGGGAGGAGGGGGAGGAGGGGGAGGAGGGGGAGGAGGAGGAGGAGGAGGAGGAGGAGGAGGAGGAGGAGGAGGAGGAGAGGAGGATGAGAAGAGGAGGAGGGGAGGAGGAGGAGGAGGAGGAGAGGAGGATGAGGAGAGGATGAGGATGAGGAGGAGAGGAGGGAGAGTCAGAAGAAGGAGGAAGGAGGAGAGGAGGAGGAGCAGCAGGAGGAGGAGGAGGAGGAGAGAGAAGGAGGGGAGGAAAGGAGGAGAGGAGGAGGGGGAGGAGGAGGAGGAGGAGGAGGAGGAGGAGGAGGAGGAGGAGGAGGAAGGAGGAGGAGGATGAGGAGGAGGAGGAGGAGAGGGAGGGGGATTTGGAGGAGGAGGAGGAGGAAGAGGAGGAGGAGGAATTTGCGGCGTTTCTGCATCTCTGGCCTCGTGTCCTGGACACAGCACGCCCGACCTTGAGAGCACGCTGGGCGGGAGGCTTCCCTGGGGGGGCCCTTGGTGGCCTCGTGCGGCGGCGTCTCGGTGGCCTCTCGGGCGCTCTTTGAGGCATCTTGATAGCCTCCTGGGGGCCTCTTGTAGGCCTGTCGGGGCCCTGCTGGGAGCCCAGGAAGCCTTCTTGCGGTTATCTCGGAGAAGCTCGAACAAAACCAGACTTCGAAAATTGCAGCTTCCGAGGGTTGCCAAAGGTGCCCCTGGCCCAAGGTGCCCCCAGCTCTTCGCTCCATTCGTCTGACCCGGGCTTGGATGCTGATCCGGGTCAGACGATCCCCGATTTGTGAAGAGGCCATTCGGACGCGCTCGTTTCTTTGCGGACATTCGAGGCTGATGAGCAGACCGCTCGTCGACGCTGCTTCCACTGGTCGGCCTTGCCTTTTTCCTGTGGAGCCGCCGGGGACCTCTGGGTCTAAGGAGGGTTTCTCGGGAGGCCGCGGGTGCCGCCTTGGAAATCCTGGGGGGCACCTGGGGCCAGGTGAGGCGGAGCCAGGGCGAGAAACTCGGGGGAGGATCAATCGAGAAACTCTGAGATTCGGCGGTTCTGAAGGATGCCTCGGGAGACGCGGCCCTCTCAGAGCGTTCTGGAGCGCTCCGAGAGCATTTCAGCACGCTTTGGAGCGGGCTTATCCTCGTCTCAGCCCCATCCGAAGAGGACGGGGTGGGGGCACCCTGTGCCAGGGTTGAGTAGGGCTGGGGGGTCAGGTCTGCAGAGCCCCCAAAGCGAACATGAAGGGGCGCAACCAATCTGTTCGGTCAAGCTGAAATTAGTGCACCACACCTGAAATTAAACCAAAACTTCGGACATAAACGAATGGTTGGATTTTGTATATCTTCGTCGGATCAACCGGACGTTCTTTTTTTTGGTGGTCCTGCAGAGGAAGGCGCTCTCTGACCCTCGGCCCTGTTCAAGGTAGAGGCACTTCTAGAGAAACCAGACACGGCGTAAACATAGACTTTCGACGGTCCGCACGGATTTCTTGGATCTGCGCCGGAGCCCCCTCTGCCTGCCTGGCGCGCGGAGCGCGCCAGGGGCGGCGCCGGAGGCGCCGCCGGGGGGGCCCAGCGCGGTTCCAAGAAACCCGCGCGGAACGCCAAAAGCTTCTGCGTAAGTCGGGCCTGGCCCCCTACAGGCCGATTTTGAACGAAAAATAAAAATACACCAAAAATGCTAAACAGATACTCAAAGATGGTCAAACATAGTCCCCAGACTATTGTTGAAGATCCCCCCTGCAGAGGGACGGGCCCGACTTAAGCTTATGCTTCTGGCGCCTTCCCCATCGAACTTCGGGCAACCTCCGAAGCTTCCGAGCGCGGGTCGGCCCTGGGCTCGGCGGGAGCGCGGCGCCGGCACGCCGTTGTCGCCCCGATTTATTTCTGGAACGCGGGGCCGGGCTGGGGGCGGCGCGGCGCGAGGAGGAGGAGGAGGAGGAGGAGGAGGAGGAGGAGGAGGAGGAGGAGGAGGAGGAGGAGGAGGAGGAGGAGGAGGAGGAGGAGGAGGAGGAGGAGGAGGAGGAGGAGGGAAAGGAGGAAGCAGCGACGCGTTTGGGGGGGCGCGGCGCGGCCTCCGGGCTGGGCAGGCGTTCGCGACCGCAGGGCGGGGAGCGCGGGCAGGGCATCCGCCCCCCCCCCCCCCCCCCCCCAGACAGGCCTCGGGGAAACGTGCAGCAGGAGCTCGAGCACAAGAGGCCTCCCACAGGAAACCCAACCCTGAGACCCCAGGACGTCCATCGATTTCTGTGGTGGGGGAACTCCACGCTCTCCACTGCGAAACCGTCGAAACCCAAGAAACCCAAGGCACCTTGGAGGCAAGCAGGGTGTTTCTTGGCATGGGCT